TGTTCACATGGGCTTGTCCGAAATTATTGCATTTGACATTGTGTTGGTCAAATTTGTTCACTTTACATTGTCTTATCCGGAAAGAATCTAATGGTTAGATGTACCATTGGTCATTTGAAGTAAAGTATGAAGGGATGATTTGAAGTGATTGATACTTAAAATTGTAAGTGAATAAATAGTGAATTAATATGATGTGATGTGTGAGAATGATAGATTGATATTGTTTAATTATAATGATAATATTGAAAAAAGTTTGGTTAAATTAAGTTTGAGTTGTATTTTTGAGTTAAAAAAAAAATATATAGTTAGTCGCAACTGAATATTTTATATCCAATCAGGGGTAAATTTACAATTACTTGTGTGTTTTATCAAGAGAAAATTACATTATTCACCTCTAAATTTTATTTTATTTACATACTTACGAAGATTTTCTTTTCAATTATAAATATAATAAATTTTATTTTTTATAACGGTTGATTTGTTATTTATTTTTCTCGTTGATTTTTAAATTATATTATTACTGATTTATGACTAGTTTACAATTGATTTATCTATGATTTTATTTTAAAATTTATATTATTATAATTATTATTATTAATATTATTATTATTATTATTATTATTATTATTATTATTATTATTTTCCATAAAATTGTCATAAACATGTCAACGTACCTTTTTAGAAGCGGTTTTCTCTATCTTGTGGGCCGGTCCATTATCCGGTACAAATTATTAAGATTTTTATCCGACTTTTACTAGGACCGAATATCGAGTAAAAATAGTCCAAAAAGACGTTTAATATTCTCTCCCTCGAGAGTTGAGATACGTTACTACAGTGGAGACAGTCTTGGGTTTAGAGCATCTCCAACCGGCCCTTCATACCTGCAGGAAACGGCACGGTTGGAGGAAAACCATCTCCAATGGGCTCTCTTCATTTGCCAGAAACACTTCGCTTGATTTTGTGGAACGGTTCCCACGCCGTTCCACTGCTCACCCTCTTCGCTTTATCTTTTTTTTTTTTTTTTTTTTTTTGTTTAAAAATATAATTGGGTTATATTTTGGGCCTAAATGATGTATTGTAGTTGGGCTTTTTATTAATTACAATTCAATTAGTTTTATGAGTTCAATTAAAATTTTTTAATAAATGTTTTAAACTTAATTATTGTAATTAATATGGTAGAATTTTAAGTAGTGTAATAAAAAATTAAATATTTTTATTTATTAATATGATATAATATTAATTAGTACTTAAATTCACTTAAATAAATATTTCAAACAAACAAGTTAAAATTACAAAATAAGGATAAACATTCAACTCACTTAAAATTAACGGTACAAACACTAAATTAAAATCACAACATAAAGATAAACTAAAAAACTCATATTTAAAGCTCACACATACTACAAGAACGATAAAGCATATGAAACATAAAAACGAAAGAGGAATATAAAATAAACGATTACATAGACTTATTGTCACCATAATAATCATTCAAATTTACTCCATCATGCCCGATGTTGTCGNATTAATGTTTGTGATGAAATCCACGTCGTTTTATGATGTAGTGTGAAATTTTATGATTTTTGATTTAAATTTAGTAATTAATCTTATTAATCGATAATTAATATATATACGTAAATATGTAAATTTTAGCAAGCATAATGCATTAAAATGTAATTTGTAGAGATTGTTTAATAAACTAATTAAATTAGAAAAGAATATTATTGGAATATTCTTTTAGAGGAGAATTATAAAGGGAATGGGTTGGAGTTGCTGGCACTGTTGAAACTGTATAACTAGTGGAATTTTACTGTAGAAATTGTAACTGTAGAGATTGTGTTGGAGATGCTCGACTTACAATCAGCAGGAGGCATCAACTCCTAACTTAACTACACATCAATCACTACTCATGGCAAAGACAAGCCCTTGATTCCATGATGTAGAAACAATCCCAGCTCTCAGTAATCAAATAATCTATCGGTTTTCACTCTGCCTTCTTTTGTAAGAACTAAGAACTCGCAAATCGAAGCTTGTTTCAATCTATGGTTGAGGCCTGAAAATTGAAGGAAAGCGCGTGACAAAGATAGATTATCTCTGAAATTACACGCCTCAAATTGTGTGTTTATGTGTGTGTGGATACGCGTACATGATTTTGCCGCTTTACATATGAATTTGTTTTTTTCTTTTATTTCATCTTCTGGCATATGTATCTGTGATTTTGCTGAGTTCGATTGTTTAGAATTTTCGTTATGAACATAGAAATCATTATTCATTAGGGTTTTATGTCTTATTAGGCCTTTGGTTTTGAGTTAGGTGAG